ATGAGATTGATGACTACCTTAAATGCCATCCTAGAGCCTTCACCCAGTAGCTGATGGAAGCAGAAGCAGACACCCACAGTTAAGCACTGAACTGAACTCCTGGAATCCAGTTGCAGAGAGAGATGAGAAAAGGGGTCAAGACCAGGCTGGGGAAACCCACAGAAACAGCTGACCTGAGCAAGTAGGAACTCACAGATTCCAGTCTGATAGCTGGGGAACTAGCTTAGGACAAACTGAAGGGAGTGTCAGTTAGGAGGCCTGGGCAGTGAATCCAGTACTTATCCCTAATGCAGGAATGGACTCTGGGAGCCAATTCCCCATGGAGGGTTATTCTCTCATCCTAGATACACAGGGAAGGGTCTAAGTACTGCCCCAAATGATGTGACAGACTTTGATAATCTCCCATGAAGTTCTCATCCTCCCTGGGGTGTGCATGGGGGTGGGTAGGTGGGGGTGAGAAGATGGGAGGGAGAGGGAACTGGGATTGATATGTAAAATTAGATTGTTTTTAATTTAAATTTAAAAATATAAACAAAAAAATCTACTAAGTCCAAAAAAGAAAAAACAAGAAAGAAAGAAAGAAAAGAAACTTTCAGTCATGAACAGGACCAGCAGGCCATTTGTGAGGAACATTTCTGAGTAACCCAGATTCAACTTGATGATCAACTGTGTGTCGGCCAATAAATCTGACAGCCCTTCCTTCTCCTTTGCCCACTCTGAGTTCTTGCTTACCTGATGACTGCTTACCTAATCAGATATTGATCACAGAAAGGTGAGTTGTCATTAATGCCATTAATATAGGTAGTCACTAGAATTGTTGCACACCTCTGGTCACCATCACATGCCTTAATGTAGAAGGATAGAGCACTTGCAAACCCAGTTTTCTCCACATCAAGACGGGAAGTTGTAACCACAGTCCCTTTCTCTGTAATGACACAGCACAGCCTGCTTAGAATGGACCAAATTGTCATTTTCAAAATTACTTCATTACATGTGTAGCTACAAAGAAGAGAAAGGGAAAATTGTGCCCTATTCACTAAAATTAAGAAGCTGACTCAAAGTGCATGCATACTATTATATTATTTATCCATGAGATGTGCTATTAATCATATTATGTTAAATATAGAAAAACAAAGTTGATTTGGCTTAGGAGAACAGAGAAGACTCCCTAGAAGAAATCCTTATTCTAGGACTTGAAGGTCCACAGCAGAAGAAAATGTCAGTTAATGGGAGATGACTCCCAACAAAAAGCCACAGATGAAAACCCTGCCTGAACATGACTTGTTCTTCTTACTCAACCATCACTTAAATCCTGCAAACATTATCTGAGTGTCCTCTATATAGCTGGAACTATGGTAGCTACTATATTCAGCATGATGACATAAAATCTCCATATTTATGGAATTTACATTCAAAGCTGGGAGATAGCCCTCAACATGTGCAGAAAAACCAAAGGTTCAAACGGTATATTATTATGGAAATGAGTGCTATAATGTGATTTTTACAGATAATAATATCTAATGGTCAGGTGTTTAGGAAATGCAAGGGAGCAATCTGGAAACAGACAGCCTACCTGCTGGCTCACAGTAAGAGGCCAAGGAAGAAAGAATGGGGTGGCATGATGGACACTGGGGGAGGGCCATGGGCGTGGTTGAGAACAAGGCAAGAGCCAGAGAAAGGACCTCAGTGTTCAGGTAAGAAATTTGGGCCATAGGGACCCCAGTCTGACAGCTGGGGAACAAGCATAGGATCAAACCAGACCCCCCTGAATGTCTATAGGGCCTCTGGTAGTGGATCAGTAATTCCTAGTATAGGAATGAACTTTGGAAGCCCATTCCCTATGAAGGGATGCTCTCTCAGCCTAGATACATGAAGGAGGGCCTAGGCCCTACCCCAAATAATGTGATAGACTTTGATGACCCCCCCATGGGAGGCCTCACCCTCCCTGAGGAGTGGATGGGGGTGGGATGGGGGGTTGGTGGAGGGCATGGGAGGGTCAGTGGAGGGCATGGGAGGATGGGAGGGAGAGGGAACTGTGATTGGTATGTTAAATAGGATTGTTCCTAATTTAAATAAAAATTTACTTAATTGAGTTGAGGGACAAGTTACTGGGGAAAAGGATTTCTATTTTTGTTTCCACAGAAAATGAAAAGATGTGGATTCCTTCCAGACTAATGTGGTTTGATCACACCAGACCGCCTGAAACAGAGTACAAGCTAATCCTACATTCAAAACAGCTGGACAAAACAGCCCTACAGACTACAGCCAGGATATCTGAATCTTCTTCGAATCCCCCCAAGACAGCGCCCTTTACCAGCAGGAAGTAGCTTGGAAAGAACGACGCCCAAATTCCCAAATATTGTGTATAAATGTTTGTTTTCATTTAATTGGACTTTGTTATAAAAAATTAAATAAAATAAAAAAATTCCAAAATGAAAAAAAAATTACTTAAAAGAAATAAAGAAAGAAGTCTGAGCTAAACTTCAAGTGCAAAAAGCACACATGGAGAAGAAATACCTCCCACTAGGGGCTCTGTGAGGGTGCTTAGCATCTTGGAAAAGAAGCACTACGAAGAACAAGATCAGGAAGAATCTGAGACCAGAATGTTACTGTAAACAGGTTATTTGGGAGGGAATCCAAGGTAACGTGATGTGGAGAAGAGGGGCAGGGAAAAATATTTCTAGGAAAAGCATCACGCCAGTTACCACCACTGGCACAACAGCCTCACATCTCTGAGGAATTTTGTGAGCCATAGAATTGTTCATACCAAGAGTTGTTCTGTGGCAGAGAAAATAGCTGGAGAATTTTGTACCAAGTCCTGAGTAGCAGACTTTCACCGAGTCCAGCCTGAGACTTGTGGGAGAGAAAGGGAATGAAGCTATCAGATCCCGAGCAAAGGAAGCACTGATGCTGAAGGCTAGAACCAAGTTTACTGGACTGAGCAGATATCAGTAGGACATATGAGTCTGCTTCAATGGCTAACCTGTATATGTGCTAAAGATAACCAGCACTGTTCTTTCCATTTAGCAACTCTAGCTTTAAACACTACATAATTTGCACCCCACCCCCAAGACTGGGTCAATAAGGAACAAAAGACTAGCTTTAACTAGTCCAATCAGGTTCTCCCTTATAAACATTTGGCCCTGAAATAGAATAAAGTCATGTTAGGTCTAAGAATATGTGCTAAAAAATGCTGTAAGGAGTATGGGTTTTTCCATCCTCCACCTGTCTGGTCCCGCCGCCGCGCCAGCCCCAAATAACACACAAAGACTCTGTATTTGATATTATGCTGTTGGCCAGTTACTAGTTTCTTATCGGCTAGCTTGTCTTAAGTATTAACCCATTTCTGCTGATCTATGTATTTCTCTTACTGGGGAGCCGGCTGGCATACTGCTTTCTCCCAACTCTCCATCTTGGCTCCTCCTTCCTCCTTCCTATTTCCTCCTTGTCTCCTAGTCCCTCCTATCTTCCTTTCCTATTGGCCAACAGTGCTTTATTCATTAACCAGTATGAGAAACATATACAGAATGACATCTCCCATCAAAATGCATATAAAGTGTCGAGTTAATAATATTCATAATAGTCAAGAAGAGACAGGGATTGGCATAGGAGTAAGATACTGGCCCTGTAGAATTACTCAGCAGACATTTCCAAAGTGTCCAAGAAATGTTTCATGATGTGGTTTTACTCTTTCTACCTCCCCTCAGGAAACTGGGTGGGTGGAAGACAGGAGTGCAATTACTCAGGGCACCACAGTTCTCAACCTACCTTTGTCTATTGCAAAATAACCATCCCCTGTCTCCAGTCCAAAAGTTAAGTCTCCCAAGTTATCTTCATCAGCTGCCTGGCACATTGCAATCATCTTCCCAATGGGAATTTCTTCATCCAGTATGATGTTGACTTCATGATGCAGAGTTGAGTTTGTGGAGGTAACACTCAAGACCCCATTTTCAATATTAAATAAGCTTGTTTTAAAAGAAAGATGTTATTGGTATGGCACTCAACTTGTTATTTCTATACCTTGTAAAGGTGTAGCAGACTGGATAGAGTAGTGACATGATAGAAATCGTATTCATGACAGAAGTATCTTAACCACTTACTGATGGTCACTTAGCTATCGTTTGCATAAAAATCCTAAGAATTATCATGGATTACTCATTGTTCCTAACAGGCACTTCCCTGGGAAGTAAGTACCATGTTTGTCTGTTTTCTGGTTGTGAAAAATGAGAACTGAAGAAATTAAGTAACTTTCAGAAGGTGGCTGAGAGAGAGTGACACCACAAACTTCTTTTGCTCCAAAACCTGTGTGTATGGAACACAGTGTTCTTACCCTTGAAGTACAAGCTACATTCATAGAGCTGCTGACCCTCAACAAGTTTTTTATACACTTACTGGTTATAACACTGACTATTATCTTCCTTAAGGGAAATAAGAACTAAGCTAGAAAGTTGGTACTAAGGATGTACTGTGTGAATAACACCTTATTTTATTACTATTTCAATATAGTTTATACTTTAAAATGATTTTTGCTTTTCTTTGGACTCTATTATGTGGTTGTTTATACAATGCTTGTTTACTTTCCTTCTCAGCCAAAAAGAACAGGGAAAAGGATGGAAAGATTATGTTTTCAAGGTCAAATCAAATAGTATGTCGTATTTTCTTACCTGCAGGTGAGAGTGGGGTCCTTATTGTTGACATTGATGAGGAACATCTTTAGATTTCCAATAGCAAATAGTCCTCCAGGATCAACCACTTTAATAACCAATGAAAAACTAAAAGCACAGCCACAAAAAGGACAGCTAAGACTTCATGATAAATAGCAGGCTTCCAGAGAAAAGAGCCCAGCAGACTTAACTGGCCAGCTACAACAATGGCCTCCTTGCGTTAGGATGTCAGTCAGACCAGGTTTTTTGCAGTTGGAAATGACTAACACTTTGTAAAGAAACAAATGGGACAGATCAACTGACAGGAGAGGCAGTAACTTTTAAGACATTTGCCAAGTGCTAGCTTTGTTCACACATACACTAAAACTGGAACAACATAGATTAGCATGGGCCCTGCACAAGGATGACACAAAAATTCATGAAGAGTTTACAAAAAGATTTTTTTTAACATTTATTATTTCCTATAAATAGGTGGAGGTGGAGGGCTATGGAAAACCCTTAGCATTTTGCAATGAACAGATCATTTATAGCTATTGGTTTATACCCTTTAAACATTGACTTCTTTTATTAAAGACTAACAGATACTGAGGTTAGTGTTAGGAGTGCCCCAGTATGGTTGAGGTCATGTCATCCTGCCATCCAAGATGACATCTCCAGGCAGGAGGAGAGTTCAAGTCTATAGGGAGACTTAAACATACAAATAAAAATGGAAGAACCTGTCAAAACAAATTTATCACGGTAAGAAACATTAGGATTCTTACACAATTGACAAGTTTTTATTTCACAAAGATATGTGAGGGATGGGACCTCTGGCAATGGAACCAAGTGCATGAATGGACTTCGGGAGCCCATTCCTCATGGAGGGATCCCTTAGCCTAGAAACAAGGGGGAGGGCCTAGGCCCTACCCCAAATGACTCAACATATTTTGATGATCCCTCTTGGATGGCCTCACCCTCCCTAGGAAGTGGATGGGGGATGGGAATGGGAGGGTTGGTGGGGGGAGATGAAAGGATGGGAGGGAGAGGGAACTGGGATCAATATGCAAAATAAGACAAAATATTAAATAATAATTTTAAAATATATGTGAGGATGGTAATGAAAGGAGGAAGGTGAAAGTTTGCTTACTAATGGTGACTGCTCTCAGCTATAGACGTTACCCACATTCAATCATGGCTCCTAACTTTCCTAGTGCTTTTCAGACTTGATCCCAACAAACTCCAATTCCAGGAAAATTGAAATAATTACTTTCTTCTCCACGAAAAAAATCTATTTTACCTTGAATTATACCAAAAAATGACACCAAAATTCCCTCTCCTTCTCTCCATACCAGTGTGTAACAATTTCTCAATTTCTTATTTCATAATTTCTTTCAAGAAGATGATGACTTGTGAAAAAAAATAAGTGTTGAAAAAAACCAAAAAGCCAATCAATCTAAACAAATAAAGACCTATAAAAAATATTTCTAGCCTAACAGGATAGCACATGTCCTTAATCCCAGCATTCTGGAGGCAGAGGCAAGTTGATCTCTGAAAGTTAAAGGCCACCTTGGACTATATAGTGATTTCCAGGCTAGTCAATGATACACAGTGAGAACCTATCTCAAAATAATAATAATAATAATAATAATAATAATAATAATAAAATTCTAATAAGTTGTAAGTAAACAGTGGGAATATGGTATGGGCAATTTTCATAGTTCAAATTCAGATTTTGTTTTGGGGAGGCTGCATGATGATAGAGTGAGGCCATGAGGATCCTTCCTAATACTTCCCTAAGGATTCAAGCAAGTGATTTCATAGCCCAATACCTCCTTTCAAAAAAAGGATTTTGAATTTTTACATTTTAAAGATTAGTAATTAAACAATTAAATTGGTGTTAGTGAGATGGCTCTGTGGGTAAATTGCTTGCCTCTACCCAAGCTTGACCCCTAAAACTCAAGAAAAGATGGGAGAAGTAACTTCACAATGTTGTTCTCAAACCTCCCCAGGTGCACTGAGGCATGTGTTCCCAGCCACACTTCATGCACATACACAAAACAAAGATTATCAAAAGAAATAGAATGTCTAAAAATCATTTCTTATCCAAATTTTACCTTATTTCAGTAAAGGTCAACTCAGCAACCCAAGCAAATCTGCATCAGGGATTGGAAGAAAGGAGGGAAGGGTGGAGGGAGGAAGAAGGTAAAAAAGCAGGAAGGGAGGAGGAGAGGAAGGGAAGGAAAAAGAAAGGAAGGGAAGGAAGAGAGAGGGAAGAAGAAGGAATGAAAGAAAGAAGGAAGGAAGGAAGCAAAGAAGGATATGGCCACAAGGAGAATAGATAGACATGTTAGCCAATCAGCCATTAATATTCTCATTCTGCAATCAGAGCTTCAATTTTCTACTCTTATTTCCTCTAATTTCAGAGATAATAAGAAAAAAAGAAAAAAAGGGAGTCTCTCACTTTCACTTACCCAGAACAAAGTTGCTTTCCCAAATTTTAATTAATTTGCATTTGCTAAGAAGTCTTAAGACTTATAAATATCTAGGGTATTTTGTTTGGGGCTTTGGTTTAAGACAGCTTCATGTAACCTAGGCTAGCCTTGAACTCATTATGTACTCAAAGATAATCTTGAAATGTTGGTCTTCCTGTCTTCCTTTGCCCTGTGCTGAAATTATGTGTGTAGACTCATAATCTGTTTGATGAGGTGGTGGGAGTCAAAACCCAAGGTCCCACATATTCTAGGCAACTGAGCTACATTCTCATCTCTGACACTTGTGACCATCTTGATGATCCAGTTATGGACCTGAGTCTCCTTCAGTGGGATCTGATGTATATTGGGTGGGCAGCCGGTCTTTACTGTCCAGGAAGCTGCTCCGGATACTTTCCATTCTTCTCAACTTTCGTGGTGGCAAAGAATCACTTATGAAAGGCAGCAGAAAGTTTATTGGAATGCCTTCAGAGTCTACTTCCTTTTCCTGTGAAGCACTTTGAAGCAAAATGTGTAACTGAAAGGGCGTAGCTATAAGTCATTATAAAACTAAAAGAGCGTACTTGAACCAGTGGTAGCCCATTTAGCTGATGCAGAGGAAATAACAAAGTGGCCATGTGCTAACTTCTGACAGATGCTGATTATTACATTAGAAAACAATTCTACATTAAAGGTATCTGGAGAGTGACCTTCCCACTTCCACAGCAGGGTACAAATAGAACTACTAACATAATCTTCTTGCTCCACTGTGATGAAAGTAAGTGCCACAGAGAGGGTCCACACAGACATCCAAAGCAGCAATAGGACAATTACGAATGAGTCCCAATTTCATTAAGACAGTATCAAGAGCAACTTCAGTGAGGAGCATGTTAGGCTCAGATAAGGAGAAAATTTTTCAGAAGGGGAACTACAAGCAATAGGACCATCATTCTCAAAGAAAGCCCAGCACAGTGTTACCTTCTCATGTCGCTCTCAAAATCCAAAGCCGTTGCTGTGGAAATTGTCCCAGTGCTGTCAATAGTGAAGCCAGAGCTCTCCGGGGAAATAAAATACTGTTTGTTGAATAGGAAAGGGAAAACAAAATATTGCAGAGATGCAACACATTCCCTGGTGAGGTTGCTCAACCTCTAAGAACTAAGCCTGAAATCTTCAGGTACTTTGTGCGGCTCATCAACCACAGGTCCCATGTAGTAGATGATCAGAAAATGTTGGCAGCAGCAGCTGATGATGATGACAATGATGATCATTTTGATAATGATGATAAAACTATGTTCTATTCAACTGACTTCAGATCAGACAACATGCTCTTAAATGAAAAAAAAAGTTTTCTGGTCTCTGCATTCCACATTACCTGAATATTTCCTATAGCACCCCACTCAAAGCTAAAAATAAAGAAAAGAGAGTTCCATCAAGAAACCTATGCCAAGTGTTTACTGAACACTGAGATGGTTTGTGTGGACAATGTTCTCTGGCTTTGGGGTCTGGGGGTGAATGGGAGCTGTGACAGGAAGAAAATCAGACATCTTCAGAATCTTCTCCTTAGATTTTGTCTGTTCAGGTACAAACAGTGTATTATCAAGTTTCTCCATAGCCTCACTGACTTTTTACCTGAACTCCCTTTCAGCTGTTTTGTGAAGTGCTCCAAGTGCATTGACTTGGAGTCTCAGCATCCTAAGTCATTGGTGTTGATGTAATCCCATTTCACAAACAGGAAATCGGAGGCTTGGAAAATTCCAGTGTTAACCTGCATCCCTAAGAGGAGTCCCTGCCCAACAGAACAGATGATGCCAGAGTCCTAATACAGGTGAGAATCAACTTATATAAAAAGCCAGGAGAAAAAAATATCCACAAGAAGCTTAATATCAGGAATTAATTATACCAAGTGCTACTGACTTAATAATTGTGTATACTCAGGATAATTTAATAGAGAAACTTAAACCCAGAAGCACTGCAGAGCAGACTAAAAATCATTTGGAGAAATTAGTGACCTTTACATTGATTGATTTTTCTGATGAATCACCATATTCTGAGTAATTTCGGTTCATAACTTCCATGCCTGCCCATCTAAATAAGATTGAGCTGATTGCTGCTGCTGTTTTAGAACAATGTAGAATATTAGCATTCCGGAATGGCAGGAAAATTCATCACATATTTCCTTCTATTGCAAACATGGGGATAATGATGCCTGATTCATAAGGGAACAGCAGTGGAAGGCTGGGAACTCAATGGCTGAGGAGGCCCATCAACACTGCATGCCTATATACAAATGCACACAACATTTTAAAAAATACCCACATTTCTGTTTGTATCTATTCAAAATTTGTAATTTTAAAGTTGAGTGTTAAATGGGTATCAACATTTTTTTTCAAACAAAATATATTAGAAAGTCATGATTCACATGGTTGATTTTCCAAAAAATAAAGTATTTTTCAAAAAATATCTTGATGGTGTTAATATGAGCAACTCCTTTTTGTGTTAAGGGAAGGCTGGAAATGGTGGTTGCTAAGCAGCCAGGGCAATCACTAGGACAGCCACCTAAACGAAGAATGCCCTTAATAGGAAAGCAGTCTAAGGGATGAGAAATTAATGGTCTGGGGCTAGGCAAATTATATTCATTTTCCTTGTGCCTTTTTTAAAAATCAGTATTTTGTGTGTAATTGGCATAAATTTGTGGAGAACTATTTGGCTACAAAAGTGGCACTGACATCCCTTTTCTAAGGTATGGGGACAGAGTTTAGGACCTGAGGAGATGCAGAGCAGGGGAGTAAGCCTCAGTCTACCTGAGTGCACTCATTCAGAATGCACTTCATCCCCTTTGAAAGCTTGTTCATGGGTAGCTTGGGAATTGAAATGACACAAAGTTGAGAAAGAGTTAGAGGCTTTGATGCTTAAGAGCAGGTCACAGGAGCTATGGCTGGATCTTTCCATGCCCTGTGTTTCAGTCAAATACAACAACTGTGTGAGCAGATACAACACA